CACAGATTTTCAGTGAAAAAATACTTCCGCACTTTTATTTGTTTCACTAGTAATATATAGTTTGTTTTCTATTCAAAATTTTTTGCTAACGAAAGACAATTGCGCGTTTCGTTTGACCAATCACAACATCGTGTTTATTCGTCTTTTTTTTTAGAGTCATCTGTATCTATGAAAGAAAAATACGTAAGTAATTTCCGATTTATAGCCAATTTCGTGGCTCCATGACAGTCTATTAAGTGCATAGGATACAGCTTGAACTACAAATAGCTGTTCAATGGGACGTTAAGGATTTTGGATGCGCGCCAACATTCAGCTTTGATGCCCTTTGATTTTAATAGTTTAACTTTTTAATTAACGTATTAGCGATTACTTTAAAAAATAATTCATTTTTGCACACTGATACGTCTACACATGCCTAATGGTTAATATGTTTAAAGGTAAGTGGTATTAGAACGCCACCCGGAACAATTGCTTTGACCTCTAGGAACGCCATGTGCATTAAACACCAGGACATGGACGCTTTAGTGATATAAATTAGCTGATTATAGATACGAAAAGCCTTAAATTCCTTAACATTGTAGTATTTATAAAAAAAAAAATTTTAAACACACATTACTACTGAAAACAGTTTTAAACATATGTTAACTTAAAATCTTATCGAATTTAAGTTGTTGGCAACACTAGCTACTTTAAAGTTATATATTTAAATGTCTTAACGCACTGCTATCGCTACATTGATGTCTTGTTTCGCGGTAATTGATTGGGAATGCTTCTATAATTAGGAGCATGACTTAGTGCGCGTGCGCAGGACGTCTCTAACAAGCCGAGAAATCGACCGTTCATTTTCAATGTTTTAGTTGCGATTTTTAAATATCATTTCCTGTTTTTGAATATTTAAAGCAATCATTAAAAATTGCAATAAACTTAATAAAAGCCATAACGCATATGCGACGGACATATCTGCTTATGTTTCATTGATATATTTTAAATACGGTGATTAACCTAGATCAGAGGACAGGACCTCCGTATAGACACCTGCGTTAACCACTAAACAGACGCGTTTTATGACTCTCTCAAAATATTAACTTTACATTCCATGCTCGGATAATTAAACATGTCTTTATCAAAATTTATTACAATCAGATTAATGGATTACCTATACATTACCCAACCACAGTTAACGTGATTTGAACACATCGAACACATTTAGACATACATATATATTTCTTTATTTATATCTTCACGCCTTTTTCCAAAAGGTGTAAGCTGAGACTAAGGATCTCCACGGTCTTGACATACCTCTCTCGCATCCACTTTCATGATGAATCATGCATGCTCGTCGTTTATGGTAGTTTTATGTCCCTTCTCTGGTACATAGAGAGAGAGAGAATGAAAAAATAAATAAATATATATACAAAATATCCTCTTGCATTAATCTGATGAAAACTAAATTAATATCCGTTGCGTAATTAAAGATTTAAGTGAAATAACTTTGCTTTATATAAAAATATATATATTAATATAAGAGCAGTGTTGGCCTAGTGGCTTCAGTGTGAGACTCTCATCCCTGAAGGTTCGATTCTCGGCTGAGCACCAATGGACTTTCTATCTATGTGCGCATTTAACATTCGCTCGACCGGTGAAGGAAAACATCGTGAGGAAACCGGCTTGCCTTAAACGCAAATAGTTGACAGCGTGTGTGAGGCACAGGAGGCTGATCACCTACTTGCCTATTAGATTAACAAATGATCATGAAACAGAAGAAATCTGAGGCCCAGACCTAAAAAGTTTGTAGCGCCACGGATTTATTTTATATAAAAATAATAGTATCAACGTTAATACTTAATTGAATGAATGAAACGTAAATAAAGTATGTTTTTATGAGTTTATAGCTCGATAATTAATAACAATTAAACGGTTAATGCTGTGTTGTTAATTTTACTATTAATTAAATTGTAAACCAGTCAAAACAATTTTTTAATTGCCTTTACTTTATACTATGACCGATTTATATCTCTATTAAACATTTTATTTCTTTGTGATAACAGAAAAGTGTTGTTTTAACAGTGTCATAGGGCGTTTCTTTAATACAGTTTTATAATGTATGTACAAGCTAAAAATATAACGTAGAAACTATAAAAGGTCTTTTTAAATAGACCGTTGAAATCTTCGATATTTGGGTGAGATTTAGAGTCGAGAATTTTATTGTTAATATAAAACCCGTCATGTGTATTTAAATAGTAAACATTATATGAAACATGTTAATTACCCGATTTCCATTCAAATTGGTCTATTTAGCACAACGGTACTATTGAAGTATTAATTACAGACTAATGGGTAAGTTGTACGTCATAAAAGTAGCTAATCTCAGAAATAATCACCGACTCATAATTAAACTTGCAACTGATAAGGGGGTAATTATTTTTGTGATAACTTGTTGAAGTAATTAAATTATGAGAATAAAAACTGCTGAAGCTTTTATTATGGTATTTTCTAGCAAATTATAGATGCTTCTTGCGATAAACTGTTTTAACGGAAGTGACTTAAACAATTTAATACAATTAAGACTCACTATATGATTACGGAAAACTCTGTTAATACAAGTTGTAAGATGAAATGTATTTAATTTTGTACAAAAGTACTGTTTTTTAACTCGAATAGAATACTACGTAAAATTTCCATTTAAAAAGGTTATAAAATATTTTATTAAAAACTGATACATGCTTTAAGCCATTTAATCCGTTTTAAGTTTTTATGAATCAATTAAGTAATAATTGTTGCATATATTAAAGCTATCGAACTGTGACCACATGAAAAACACAAATAAAACGCAAAAACTGTTTTAACGAAAGCAGCTTAAACAATTGACTACAATTAAGACTGATTTTATGAATAGGTACGGAAATGTATTAAAGTATTAAAACAATTCAAACAGTTTTTAACTCGAATAGAACACTATGTAAAATTTCCATTTAAAAAGGTTATGCTATTGAATCAGTTTTAAAGTTTATCAATAAAGTAATAATTGTTGTATATTTAACGACTATCAAACTGTGACCACTAGAAAAAACTCAAAAACGCAAAAATTGTTTAACAAAAGTGGTTAAACAATGTACAAATAATACTGATTTAATTTTAAAACCATAACGTTCATATATTTAACTCGTAATTTACGTAGAATTTCCTTCTAAAAAGGTAAAAAATATTTGTACATTATATTTAAAACTGATACACTTGCTTCAAGCGATTTGAAGTTTAATTAATCTATTAGGTAATAATTGTTGTTGACTATCAAACTGTGACCAATAGAAAAAACATGAATAAAAATGCAATCAATAGATAAAAGTACGAGGAAACATAAATATTGCGTTTAATACTTACTGATAAGGTTTCGTAATTAGCATTATATGTTTTCGTTCAAATGTAACGGTTAACTTGTTAACTACTGATCCTTTACATTCTGTTCGCGACAGGTTTTTAGGTTTAATCCATTTAATCATCAGTGTTTCACCGTTCTAAACTCTGTCTCGTTTTAACATAGCGTAAACACAACTTGACAGAAACGAATAAAAAATTAAACATTTTAACGGAAGCCATATTTAGCCGAAGTTTTCTTTCACAAGCAAAGTTAGTAACAAGGTAGGTACTAGGTTTCTTTTAAGAGAAATGTATAATTCCCTTAAATAAAAAAACAGCTCTTCGTTCGTATGTATAAAGCTTAAAATCGAATAAAACTTTAATCATTAACAAAACTGTCAAACTGTATTAATTATGTAGAAACTTTATTTTGAAAGAATATATAAATTCTCTTCAACACACATAAATAAACTTCAATACAATAAAGAATTAAATTTTATTCCTATTTGTTATCAGCGCAAATAAAGGTCAGAGCACACTTAGTGGGATGATGTTGCGTGCACCTTATCTAACGTTCATGATTAAAAATTAAAATGCGACCAACAATAAAACTGTTTACTATTATCCTTGTAATACTTGGCTTAATTAGACGATGTAATTGGATTATTCAAATCAAATATTTCTTCAAATGTGAAGTACAAAATCTAAATCAGCGTTATGGCACTGTTTTAATTCAAGAAATTGCAATTTAAATAATTGCGTTAGTAGGCAATTTAGTACATTTAATACAGTTCATTGGTTTCATTTATTTCCACACAAATATACAGTACTTACAATATTCTTAATCTAAATAGTAATAATAATAATTAAATTTGATAAATAGGAAATTGAAACTAAGTTAAACATCCTGTGAATGTTTTGTGTTAAAAAGTTTCTAACGTCAAACATTTCATGCTGTAAACGCTTAATAATCACAACTAAAAGCTTGAGTTCTTAATGATCAAGGGCGGTTCAAGAATTCGGATCCTTACACAAAATCTGCTACTTTTTTATCATTTTTTTTATGAATACGACACTATACAGAACTTTGTGTTTTGACCAATTCCCAAAAGTTATTTTTACCAATATCAATATAAAATTTGTGGTACAGTCAGTTCCTGTCTAAATACGAAGGCCCATGCGGTGGATCGGGTCTTCAATATGATAATTATGAGTTGAACATATTTTCATAACAATCCAAGCTTGATAAGATACCTATGCGCATTATATATTATACCTATATCCATTTTTCGTATTTTTATGGTAGATATCGGTGTTGGCCTAGTGAGTTCAGCGTGCGACTCTCATACCTGAGGTCATAGGTTCGATCCCCTGTGTACCAATGGACTATCATTCTATGTGCGCATTTAACATTCGCTCGAACGGTGAAGAAAAGGATCGTGAGGAAACCGGCTTGCGTTTGACCCAAAAATTCAACGGTGTGTGTCAGGCACAGGAGGCTATTCGCCTAAAAGCCTATTAGATTGACAAATGATCATGAAACATATACAGAAATCTGAGGCCCAGACCTAAAAGATTGTAGCGCCTCTGATTTTTTTTTTTATGATGCATATCAGCTGTATACGATTACTAGAATATAACAAATGTACAAATCTACAACAGTTCCTTTCTTTTCAGACCACAATGGCGAGCCTCCGAAGCTGAAATGCAACCTACGCAAACACAAGCCGAATCGCAAACCACGCACGCCGTTCACTGCGCAGCAACTACGCGCGTTAGAAAGCAAATTCGTCGACAAACAGTACTTGAGCATCGCTGAAAGGGCTGAATTCTCTTCGTCACTTGGACTATCTGAGACTCAGGTATGTATCTATTCAGTGAGAGAGTTTGACTTAGAGTAAAAACTTTATAAAGACGGTCGGACAGAGCTACAAAATCATAAACAATTTATGAGTTAATTAGTTAGGCAAGTGGCGTTGATTGTTATTAACTAATTAATCGATAAGAGCGCACGTACTTTACAATAACATAATAAGCAATACTAACGAGTATATTATACACATATTAAAACTATTTTTAATCTATGTTTTTTTTTTAAAAGATAAATATTCTGTGGAAAGTTTTGCTTATAGCACGTCAAATTACGTGGTAGCAGCCATGCATAGCGCCTACACAGAGTTATTAATCAACACACTCGAACATGGCATAGTTTTTTGTTTCAAAGTGACGTTAGAGTGATAAGGTCAAACATTCTGTTCTTGGTATGTTAGTAAAAAACAATAGACAATCGGCAACTAATAACTTAGTTCCAAAACGACATACATTCTATAACATCATCAATTTTACAGGTAAAAATCTGGTTTCAAAATCGGCGAGCAAAGGCGAAACGCGTGCAGGAGGCGGAAATCGAGAAACTCAAGATGGCACAGTTCTCCCGACACCCACACCACATGTACCCTCATCCGCTACAGCAGTACTTTCCCCACCATTTAATGGGGCGGCCGTTGCCCCACATGATGACCCATTTGTCGATGCCACCCCAGGGATCACCATCACCGAGCACGCAGACAAGTCAACAGTGAATTGATAATAAAATTCTTCTTCTTTTAAGATTAACCTTGTTGCATTTGAAAGGAATTTGCGTGATTAGTTTGGTTCTCATTGATCGACACTTTCCTCTAAAGTCGGTAAAAGTGGTATTTGTTTTCAGTCATGTGAATTCTTTAAAAAATACGTTAAATATTTATTGTTAATCGGTTTGTACCCGTCACTCCAATTTCTACATTTTTGAGCCCGCATAGGAAATTCATTAAATCGGCAGTTTAATGCAACAGTAAAATACTTTGATATTCATACAATAAAAGTTCTAGTGTAGTTTTATAAATACGAAAATCAACTTGGCCGAATCAAATTATCTATTATAATGTAAATTATTTGTAAATATTAATTATAATGTAAATAATTTAATTTTAAAGGTTTGTCATATTATTATTTAGTCAATTAATTGTATTGCATTCACGATCGTACATTATAAATTTTTGTCACAAGTCAACGGAATACAACTGTTAGCCAATAATTTGTATTAAAATTAAGCATTGTATTAATTTAAAATATGTAGTATTCAGTACAAAGCCTAAATTGTAAATAATAATGTATAAAGTTTGTACTCGTAGTCTAATATAATAATTTTAAATGATTTTGTAGTTTAATTTGACCTCCATTGAATTTTAAAAAATTAAGCATATATGGCCAGTATTAACTTGACTGAGCATCCTGACTTACGTGCGCTATCGTTGCTGCATTAGCTGTTTCTAGCAACATTAAAATTAATGTGGTGAATACCAAAGAGTTTCTCAATAAGATACTTAGTATACCAATTATTCCATAAAGCAACAATTATCAGTAATACCCTAAAATTAATAACAATCAGTTACCCTTACATTGCTTAAAAGCCAATTAATATTATTAAGTCTGGGTAAATATTTAGTACAAGGTAGGATGCAGATGATTTATAAAATAAGTAATTATTAGACTACTAATTTTAGTAGTAAATTCCTACTTTTAATATATACTCTTAGTATGCCAGAGGAACCCATAAAATGCCCTACGCGAAAAAGCGTATTTCGCTTTCTTATAAAGAATCCCGTATCCCAGCGCACATGTTATATACGTTGTTAGTAAGTAGGTACGTCGAGCGAATTGAAGTAACGTGCAAGTAACGTATAAATAACTGTTCTTAGTTAAAAAACTAACTACAGCTTAAAAGAACAAGAATATTTTAAAGAATTGTAGACGCGTAGTTTTGAGGCTTTTTCTTACTAAAACAATATGCGCAAGATTTCCGCTACGCAAAAAGAGTGTTTAAACCAAATACCAAAGAAAGGAATAACCAATACCTAAGAAATTGTCGACAAAAGAATCAAAGGATGTTGTATAGTACGGGAATCGTGACATTCCGCGCCCCCTCACATTTCAGATTTCATAATTATTATATAATTTTATCAGTTAATTATAAATAAAATATAGACCTAATTTAGTTTATCTACGGCCATTTGAGATAGTGGTTTAACGATTTCATCTGTGCGTGAAGCTAATTTAAATATTAACCATTAAAGTTAATTGTAAGATAGTGGGGTCGGGTCATTAGATACTGAATATAGAGTGTTTTTATAAAATGGGGAATTAAAAAAATCGACACATAAATTTGCATTTCAAAAGGATAATCATTAATTGGACACTATTATTTTGTCAACACAATGATCGGATTAGAGATTTTTTTGCATACTAAGGGCCGTATTCTAGAACGTTAATCAAACTTAAATCTAGTTTCAAGAGTTGTCAAATTGTTTTTTAGGTATGAAGTTTGTCGCTCATGACGAGATTGTCACTTGAGATGCGCATTAGAATATGGACAAATCATTTCAATACACTATATAAATTAGCTATGCGTAGATACGAGAAAGATATATAGTCAAAACATATTAAGCCAAGTGCTATCTTATTCACAATCTAGTCTTGAGTACTGTCAATTCTACTTCTTATATAAACTATTATGACAGCTCTTAATAAAGTTAAACGTTTTGGAATTGGTTTGTATTGGTCTAAATACTTTTAAACGAATTATAAACAACAAATGTTCTAACTCTGATGGAAGCACTGTTTATGTGTACACTTAGCTAATACATAGCTTATTAATAAAGGTTGTTTCGTATTTAGAACGTCAATCAAACTTTAATCTAGTTTCAGGAGTTGTCAAACCATTTTTCAGTATTTAGACATTGACACTCAAAACGAGACTGCAACTTGAGATACGAATTAGAGTATGGGCCTAAATAAGCCTTATTTAACACATTCATTTCTTTCTATTAAAAACGTTTAAACGCTTTGGTAATAAAAAGCAAATCAGTTCTGTAATTAAAATAATAAGACTGATAATTTTGTAATAGAATTGAAAAAAGGAGGTTATCTATCTTATCAATATGTTAGAAACGGATAACCGAGTACTTTTAGGCTTCTAATCAAGTAAGTCGTGTATGTATGTTCATCTACGAATTTATTGAAAAGTCATAAAGATAGGTATTTGATGCCGGCTAAGTTATTAAGAATAACTTTTTTTTTTTTATTGGACAATTCACACCAATTGACCTAGTCCCATGCTAAGCTGGTGAAGCTTGTGTTATGTACTAGGCAAAGCATATACATACATATTATAGATAGATAGACATATAAATACATATTTAAACACCCAAGACCTAAGCAAAACACCAAATGCTCATCACATCGATGTTTGTCTCAGCCGGGGATCGAACCCGGGACCCATGGATTCGCAGTCCCCTGACTACTACTACTACTAACCACTAGACCAATGAGCCGTCATAACTCAAATTAAATTCATACAATTCATTTCATATGAAACAATAGATTTATGACCTATCAAAAATTACATCTACATTTTCAGCCTGTATATATTTTTTGTCAACATGATCGTAAATATTATCAGAGTAATTTACCTACACCGATGATTTGTTGTCCCATATATGTGTAATGACGTCAGCCCATGATCTTACACACCCCTACTAAATTATCTGTTTGTTTATAAAGTTTGGATTATGAAATCATTTATAACTTCCGGTTTCATCTAATAATTAACTTATTCCTTGAATCATTCATCCATGTTTATACATACATTTAATATTTTATACACAATTAAAACATTTTTACCTAATAATGAGCCTCGTCCAACTGACTTCAGCTCTCTCTATCTTCTTCTTCTTTTAGCTCGTCTGCGCACCGTGAGGGCGACCTCTCTTTCTTTTTCCTGGTGGCCCTTACCACCTTGTTACCCTATATTTATAAGAGACTTTAAGTCCGCTCACCTTATATGTGTTTTTCGTTACAAGTTTTCTACATTATGCCATCTTTAATACTGGATTCGAATTTAAAGAAAATACTTTGAAGCCGGTTCTTTGAATATGAAAAACCATCCTTATTTCTCTAAAGACACAGTACATCTATACTACATCAGCAAGTTATACAAAATATGTGTACATAATGTACGCGCGTAAGAAGTTATACTTCTTTGGCATTAATAAAAATAGTTTTTTATTGCGTGCAAATAATTAATTACAATTAAATAATCAAAGACTGGAAAAGGAGTCATTAAAGTCAATAAAGTTCAGTTTACATTTGAAAAATTAAACAAATAAATATTTATTATTATTCTCTTACATTAAGTGTAACATAAATTCTATTATTATTCGAATGTTGTTTTTAAATTATGTCCAATGCCGTAGCATCTTCCGTGGGCAACTTCATTCTGTTAATTTTGTGTCACGGTGCGCGCGCATCCTACCAATATTATGAACGCGAAAGTTTATAAGTATGGATGGATATTTGTTATTCTTTCTCGTAAAAACTACTGAATGGATTTTAATGAAACTTTACAATAATATAGCTTATACATCAGAATAACACATAGGCTACAATTTATAAAGATAAGTAATAAGTAGGAAAAATCTACCATCTGCGAGCTATTCTGGCATGCGCTGCCAAAATCGATAGAGTTACACATATGTAATGTATCATGGAAATGTTTATCTTAAATAATCATACAAAAAAGCCCACCACAGTATATATCTATATCTTATGTCATTATAGCCAAAATAGTGAACAATAACTGCAATAAAAATTGATAATTTATATCAAATGCACATTTGGTAGTAATAAATTGATTTCTAAATGAAAATATATATTTTATCGCTTCTGGTATTTAAAGAAGATAAAATATGTCTTTCACGCTGTATCATTTGGACAAATTTTACTTTATCCTGTGCAGACGAAGTCGCGGGCACCAGCTAGCATATTATAAAATCGAGGGAAGCACAGGACAGAGAGCGCTGGAAGATTTCAGAGGCTTTTGGGTCGCAGTCAGCGGAGTAAGTATTACTTAATCGATCATTGGATCGAATTGACAAGTATTAACGATTTTAAACTGTTTTCACTTTAAAGTTTTTTTATGGCTTTTATTTGTGGCAACTGGGCACAAGATACTTTGCCAGTGTCGTGTACATGGAGAAGGCACGAAGGAGATTGATCGGTGAAAATTATAATTAAAAAAAGTTGAAATTCGATTGTTAGTTTTCAGACAGCATAGACAACACAAATAAGTAATAACAGACTTTAACGTTGTTAATTTATAATCCGTGACATATAACAATGACAGTAGACAGCAACGCCATTCCGACATATAATCTTATAAACATTAAAAAACTTAAATTCACGAACGATTGAACGCAAATGCAAAGTCCATTAGCGGCTAATTAATCTGAAACATCGTACATAATTATTCTAATTAAAAATAACTTATTAATTTCGCTAAGCGCTTGTTCTTAATTACATGAATTAATCACTTAAATGTTGCGTGCTTGTTAATTTTCAGGCCACAGAGGTTCACTTTGTGAGCTAAATTGCGCGGTTTGAAACGTTTTCGATAAGGGATATTGGACACTTGAAACTGAAAAGTCCCCTTATGGGGCAATGTGCATCTTTTATTCGGCTTAATAAAGCGTTTTTGCGAGGCTTA